GTTAGCTTGGCTTGCAAAACGATGATCAAATTAATCATTAGTGCACCATAAAGTCTTTAAAGCCTTACGAAAATTTACTCGGCTTTACAGTATGATCATTGCTGCTTCTATGGCCCCGATGATTGTATTTTTAATCTGAAGTTGAAAAATCAGGAAAGGTTAATTTTGCAGAGTATTTAGAATCAACACCTTTGGAAGATATTCGGGACAAGGTAGGAGTAGCCTCGGTGGAGGACAAGATGCGAGAAGCGAGGCTTAGGTGGTTTGGACATGTGAAGAGGAGAAGCACAGATGCTCCAGTGAGGAGGTGTGAGAGGTTGGCCTTGGGTGGTCTGAAGAGGGGTAGAGGTAGGCCAAAGAAGTACTGGGGATAGGTTATTAGGCAGGACTTGGCGTTGATTCAGCTCACAGAGGACATGACCTTGATAGGAAGGTGTGGAGGTCGAGGATTAGGGTAAAATGTTAGTAGGTAGTCGAGTGTGTGTTTTCCCCATACCGGTAGTAGTAGCTAGTCAGCCTTGTATTTTGGTTATTGACAGTCTTTATTACTACATGTTTTCTTATTATATTGCTGTTGATACTACTTGTTCTCTTATTATCTTGTTATGGTTACTGCTTGTTTTCTTATTATCTTGCTGTTGGTATTGCTTGTTGTTACTGCTCTCTTTTTCTATCCTTGAACTGGGGGTCTATCAGAAACAACCTCTCTACCCTCAAGGTAGAGGTAAAGTCTGCGTACACACTAACCTTCTCATACCCACTCGTGGGATTATACTGGATTTTTTGTTGTTGTTGTTGTTGTTGTTGTATTTAGAATCAACGCCTTTCATTTTCCTTCTCCCGGAAATCAAGCTGCTTTATTAATTTGTTTACTTATATGATTATCATTTATGAAAAAGAATCAAAACACCAAATTTGGTGCTATGCTTGTTGTGATATTCGTCTTTACTTATTCCATATCTTGCAGGTTTCTGTACTGGAATTTTCACGTGATCGCAAAATGATGAGTGTGCTTTGTAGCCGAAAGCAGATGGAGATAATGTTCTCAAAAGGAGCTCCGGAAAGCATACTTTCAAGATGTAACAATATACTGTGTAATGATGATGGTTCTACAGTCCCTCTTTCTGCACATATTAGAGCTCAGTTGGAAGCAAAATTTAATAGGTTAGGCCTATTCGCTCTCTTTGATGGTTGTATTTTTTCTGCAAGCTTGGTACTTGTGTGAGTGGGATATTTTGATGCGGATGGTTCAGATAGAAAGCTTGTATTCTTAGAGGTATTTTTGAAGGTCTGAATTCAACTTATCTGAAATAGGAATGACATTTGTGGAGGATATAAGTGTGGATTTTTCTGCTGTGCTGGGATTGTGGCCTTAATTTGGTGTCTATGCATATATATATGTTCAAGTCTGATACTTAGCACCTACTTCAATTATCAAAGGACAATTGATTTATGTTTTGGCTTTGTTGACTTAATTCAGTCTGCAGTCAATGAGCCAATAATAAAAGTTGCACATTTCACCAATTCATCATTTAATAATGTCCTTCGGTTGTAATATGCTAGCATTTATTACTCATTATTTTTATCGTCCGCTCTTTCTATTATCCTTTATGCTTGGTCTCTCTTATTGTTAGACAATTTCTATTCTAAAGGCATAGTGCAAATATTCACGGATTTGCAGATCTAAAAATGGCTATGTACCTATGAAATATCTGTGATGCTTCTTGAGGGGAAGTTCAAGGATTTAACAACCTCTAGTTGAGATATTTCAAAAAGAAGCTGAGTTAATGGAAGAGTAACACTTTAAAATCAACCCTTTCCAACATGTGCACATACCCTATCGTGCACTATGTAGAATAATAAAATGAACAAAAAGGGATAACTTTTTTGGAAAAAAATATCATTTTGATAGCAATCATTTCATTCGAAATTGAGAGATGGTATAATTATGATTATCCTCTGTTGTTCTTCATATCTTTGAGTCTGATTTGTCAGGACAATGCAAATAAGACTTTCTTTGTAGATCTGCAAATAAGATTTTCTTTGCAGATCATAAGTTTTTTTTTCTTTTTCTATTTCAATACTTTCTTTACAGACCGTTAGTAGTAAGATAAGTATCTCTATCTCAATCTTCCCTGAGTGAACTCCATCACCTAACAAAAGGATATGGATACTGATAAAGGCATCTCTAGATTTTAGGGAAAAAAGCGAATAAACTGCATCTACATCATGGAATTCCCGCCTTTGTGAGAAATGACAGAAACATATTTGTCATCCTCAAGGAGATATGATTATTTCTAGATGTTGAAACATTTAATTAAAGAGGGAAACAACAGGATTGGGAAGTAGAACAATATTAATGTCTTCCCTTTTCAATTGTGACTAAGTTCCAAGAGAAAAGGAAACCCAAAATGACGTCTTTTATGAAATATTTCTTTGGGAACGTTAGGAAAAGGGAAGGATAACCTAGTGGTAAAGATCCTTCACCTCCAACATAGGGTCAGGGATTCAAGTCCCTCATGAAGTAAAGTGGGAAAGAGGTACTGTTGGGTTACAGGGTGGAGGGGATTGGATGATGGAATGTACCGTAAATTATTTTTTTGGAACTTATGATAGAGCTAAGACACGAGTGAGGACAACGTGAGGAGATTCAAATAACTTACTCGTTGTGATGGGGTTGCATTAGGGATCAACCCTTAGCCCGTTTTTGTTTTCCTTGGCGATGGGGAGGTGCCATGGTGTATGTTATTTGCGGATGATTTAGTTCTGGTTGACGAGATACGAGGTGTTAATGACTGGCTGGAGGTTTGGAGACAACCTCTTGAGTCTAAAGGTTTCAAACTAAGCAGGACCAAGATGGAGTACTTGGAGTGCAAGTTCAGCAAAGTTACCCATGAAGCGGACATGGATGTGAGGCTTGATGCACAAGTCATCCCCGGGAGAGAAAGTTTCAAGTACCTTTGGTCTATAATACAAGGTGATGGGGAGATTGATGAGGATGTTACGCATCGTATCGGAGCATGATGGATAAAGTGGAGGCTCGCTTCCGGTGTCTAGTGTGATAAGAATGTGCCGGGGAAACTTAAAGGGAAGTTTTACAAGGTAGTTGTTAGACCAACTATGTTATATGAGGCAGAGTGTTGGCCGGTTAAGAACTCTCATGTCTAGAAGATGAAAGTAGCTTAAATGAGGATGTTAAGGTGGATGTATGGGCATACCAGGTTAAATAAGATTAAGACTGATGTTATTCGGGATAAGGTAGGAGTGACTCTCGTGGAGGATAAGATGCGGGAGGCGAGATTGAGATGGTTCGGACATGTTAAGAGGAGAAGCATAAAAGCCCTAGTTAGAATGTGTGAGAGGTTAGCCTTGGTGGGTATCAAGAGGGGTAGAGGTTGGTTTAAGAAGTCTTGGGAGAGGTAATTAGGCGGGACATGACGCAACTAGATCTTATTGAGGATATGACCCTTGATAGTAGGGTGTGGAAGTCGAAGATTAGGGTAGAAGATTAGTAGGTAGTCGAACGTTTCCCTTTGTTTTCTCAGTTTGCTAGCTTTAGTATGATATCTTTTAATTCATATATTGTTATTACTACCTAGAGTCTAACTGCTTTCTTGGCTTCGGTTCTATTTTTATCTTGTTTTGTTGCCATTACTCCTTTTCATCCTTTCTCCGGCCGAGAGTCTATCAGAAACCGCCTCTCTGCCCTTCCAGGGTAGGGGTAAGGTTGCGTACATCTTGCCCTCCCCAGATCTCACTTACGGGAACTCACTGGGTTTGATGTTGTTGTAGTATTAGATCTTTGAGAAACGGAGGAAGAAATAGTTTGGGTGGGCGGGAGGGGGGTGGAATTTGTAGTATTTGACCCTCTGTTACCTCTCTGCAAGTGTTAAAGCTTGAATCTAATGAGGATGGGATATATGATGTTATTGTAAATATTGCGATGTTCGCATAATGTGGTGCGCCGTGTGAGATAATTATTATATCAGACTTAGATCTAAGATGAAAGGGCATATGTATTCTAGTTGTTATTCTTTGTTTGCTTAGCTTAGAATCTTTCATAGGGCTTTTTTGGAGTGGGAATGTTGATATTCTCTACTCCAATTTTTTTTTTCTGTTAGTTTACAGATATGTTTAGTGTAGTCTTGTCCCACATTGGAAAAACAGTAATATCTCTTTGTTGTGTATAACTATAAATAAAGACCTCTTGTATTGTATTTATAATTCAATATCAATAACATATTTTCTCCCGTGCCTTCTCATATGGTATCAGAGCATTAGTGAGAAACCCGTCGCTGTGCATCATTCCAGCCACTTCCGGGAAAAAAGACCTCTTCGCCGTGCAATTTTCCGGCGACTTAGAAGGCTGTCCGTAAGCAATTCACTTTCTGTTGGTGTTGTGCAAAAAACCAACACCACCACAAGACTCCTCAGGCTCTGGCGACCAAACTCCAGTCAACCCCACCGGAAAACACGCGTCCACGCGCCTGGAAAAGAAAAAAATTTTCCGGCGAGATCTGACCCACGCACCGGCGCGTGAGCACTGTTCCGGCCATATTTTGAAAAAGTTCCAGTTGAACAGTAGGATCGCCTGGTAATTCCGATTCTACCCTCACTGGTTTTGTTTCATTCCGACCACTTTGAGTTTTTCCGTTAGCTACAGTAGATTCCGACGAGCTACAATGTTCTGTTTTCCTACTGTAAACAGTGTTTTCAAGCTATTTCTTCAGTTTTCTCACAGGAGTTACTTATTTCCACTATTTCAAGTTAACCCTACTACTACAAATTGTAGCAACATGAGAACCGATGCTTTGAATAGTCGGATGGTTTCTTTAGCAGATTATATTGAGTTCCTTCAGTACAAAGCATGTAAGCAGACATCTCGTAGCGACATGGGAACCAATGTTTTGAATAGTCGGATGGTTTCTTTAGCAGATTATATTGAGTTCCTTCAGTACAAAGCATGTAAGCAGACATCTTCTGAGATAGCTTCTGTTGTTCAAACAGGTAATAGCGTGACTTGTTTCTCCCAATCTTCATCCTCTGAGTCTTGGGTCATTGATTCAGGTGCATCAGATCATATTTCTGGTAACAAATCTCTTTTCACTACTATTTTGTATTCTCAATCTCTTCCAAAAGTCACAATGGCCAATGGGTCTCAAACCATGGTAACTGCAATAAGTCAAGCAAGTCCACTTCCTTCCTTACCTTTAGATTCAGTCCTTTATGTTCCCAATAGTCATTTTAATCTCATAGTTGTTAGTCGCTTTGCCAAATCACTTAAACGCGCTATTTTATTTCTTGATGACTATGTTTTTATACAGGAACGCAGTACGGGGCGGATCATTGGTACCGGGCGTGAATCAAACGGACTTTATTACCTTATCCTTGCTAAATCACATGGACTCACATCTTGTCTTCCTTCTACAACTTGTCCTGTTACTGATTCACCAGATTTATTACATAAACGGTTGGGACATCCCAGTTTGTCAAAACTTCAGAAAATGGTATCTGGTTTATCTCACTTGTCAGCTCTAGAGTGTGAGTCATGTCAGCTCGGTAAGCATACCCGCTCCCATTTCCCTCGACGTCTTGATAATCGAGCAGAGTCACCTTTTACTTTAGTCCATTCAGATGTTTGGGGTCCTAGTCGGGTCAGTTCCACCTTAGGATTCCGCTACTTTGTCAGTTTCATTGATGATTATTCCAGGTGCACTTGGATATTTTTGATAAAAAATCGATCTGAGCTGTTTTCTATTTTCCAGACCTTCCACGCTGAAATTCAAAATCAATTTGGGGTTTCTATTCGCACATTTCGTAGTGATAATGCCCGAGAGTATTTGTCTTCCCCATTTCAGCAGTTTATGAAATCTCATGGGATTATTCATCAAACATCTTGTCCGTACACATCTCAACAAAATGGGGTAGCTGAAAGAAAGAATAGACATCTTATTGAAACTGCTCGTACCCTACTCATACAATCTCATGCTCCGTTGCGTTTTTTGGGGGATGCCGTTCTTACATCTTGCTATCTTATTAATCGTATGCCATCTTCAGCTATCCAGAACCAAGTTCCATTCTCTGTCATGTTTCCCCATTTACCTTTGTTCTCTCTTCCACCCCGTATCTTTGGAAGCACTTGTTTTGTCCATAACCTTACTCCA